ATGGTATGTGAAGATAACTACTAAGGCCCTGGCCCTTTACTGAAATTTGCATGGGCAGAAGCCTTCACAGAGCCCTATAGGAATAAGGTCTAAACTACTTTAAAACATAGCAGTGAATTTGCCAATTAGATTATATAAAGCAGTAAGTGTAAGCAAGATCTGGGATGGGAAGTTTTCTGAGTGAATGGGTAGTTTGTGTGGGGAGAGGTGAAGGGGAAAGAGGTTAAAGTAAAAATAAAAAAATATATCAGTACTTGTTTTCATACTATGTAATCACAAGATGTGCATATAACAACTTAGATAACTTGGTGTATTCTTCTGCCTTCCCATCACATTCCCTCCTCCTTTTTGTCTAATGTTATCACCTAGTGCACAATGTAGATTCTTCATATCAAGGGCTTTATTAGTACATCTGGAGTACTCCAGATTTAGAAGTTCAAAACCTCTGAACACCCATATGTATAGAATGAGAATAGCCAACCCAGGAGAGTTCTGCAAAAGAGCCCACTATGTTTTTATATTCTGATGTGCAAGCTGCAGGGACTATGGAGTGCTCTCTTGCCTTTTGCCCACGTAGTCATCTTTCATACTTTGGAAAGTGTCTGTAAAAGATTACCAAGTGAGATTTACACCCACTTTGCATAGGTGTGAATGACTACACAAGGTAGAAAGCAATGAAGAATCAGGACCTATAAGTCCCAATATGCAATGCCCCAGCTGAATTTGAAGAGAAGTTGCATTGCACAGGTTGGGACATAGAATCTCTGCAGCAGCAATTTCATATTAAACACAAGAGCGGCTTCATACTAATTAATACTGTATATATTAAGTGCATCCTAGGTCTTCCCGCAAGTTGCCAGTGTGGTCTTTAGGCAGACAAATTTGGAAGTATGTCATGTTTAGACCACTTTTAGTTACACAAATACCAAATCTGTGATAATCTTGTATTTTTATGTCTGAAATCCAACAAAAACCCCACACTATTTCAGAGAATCAGTACTTCATACTGATGAGTATGACATACTTTAACAGAAAAGGGTATTAATGCACAGATATGTTAGAACTCAATGAGCATAACCACCTGAACAGTCACTGGAATAGACATATTCTGTGAAACAGGGGGATTGTAGAGGCTGTCATTCTGCTTGACAGAAAAAAGGAAATATGAAGAGAAAAAAAAAGGGGGGGGGAAACCCACATGCTATTTAATTTGAAATATAGTTAAAGAGATATGATCCACAAATAAAAGGATCCATAGTGGCTACTTCCAGACTGCATCCTTCTGTCGGCAGAGGGATGCAAATAAAGCACTTCGAAAGTGCAAATGAGCCCGGGATTTAAATATCCCAGGCTTCATTTGCATACTCACGTTCTGGCACTGTGCTGATCACACGCCATTTCAAAAATGAAAATACTGTGTAGCCATGGTTCTGCCTACAGTGGGGAGATTTTTCCTCCTCGTTTTTTGAGGAGTACAGGATCTGTCGAAAAAGCTCCCTGCTGTTGGCAAAACCGCGGCTACACAGCACTTTCACTTTCGAAATGGCACGTGATTGGCACAGCACCAGAACGTGAGTATGCAAATGAAGCCCGAGATATTTAAATCCGAGGCTCATTTGCATTTTTAAGTGCTTTATTTGCATCCCTCTGCCAACAGAGGGATGCAGTCTGGAGGTAGCCACAGTGTAAGCTGTGAGAAGAATTATGAGCAGGTCTGGCTATCTTGTTTTAATTGAATGTCACAGATGTACATGCTCTTTTTTCTGCAACATTTTCCATTTATTCATTTTTCACTGAACTTAAAAGTGATTCTTGCTTTCAGCTCCTCCTTCTAAAATGTCATTTGATTCATGATATTTTTAAAGCCAGAATTCTTGCTATATCTTAAATGAAAGTTTGCATAACACATGCCTAAATTCCCAATTATTTCAAGAGAGAGCACAAATAGAATGAAGGAAAAGGACTAAAGAGAGAAGAAAGAAATCAAAAGAGATAATGTGACAGAGTAGATATTGAAGAGGAATATGTTGTTTTAGTTAAAGGGTTTTTAGTTTAAAGTGTTCCTGCATTAATCATTCATTGCAAACGTAAGACCCATGCAATACAGAAGCCCATAATGGGGCTCAAATCAAACTGGTCTGCCGTTTTAAATATCAAACTGCTACATGTGTTAGCCTTGCAAGAAATGGAAAAATTGTATAATGTGCTTTTCCCACAATTTAATTTTCATAAAATCTTCTCCTTCAAGGGCAAATTGTTGTGGATAAAATGGATCTCATCATTTTATGTATGTAAATAAAGTGTTACTTAACAAGTAACTGATAGTCTTTAGCTGTACTGCTTTTAAAGGACCATGCCCCATGTTAGGATGTACATGTCTGTGAGGGTCATAAGTCTGAATATTTTACTAGCACTAACATGAAGCATTGAGCCAAACAACCATGGGAGGCTATAAAGGTGCATGTCTCCCAATCCACCTTATCCCTTTCCGCCCCCTCTCATAGCTTCAGAGGGGAAAAACTTGGCTCAATGAAAAACTCCCAATGATTTTTTTGAAACAAAGACTGCACCAATTGATTTTAAGGCCTGGGTAATCCTAAACCTTTTCAATACATTTTCTTTAAATTTCTTATAACATGATAGCATTACTGTCCACTATACCATTAAAAACTTGTCTTGCCTTCCCACGTAATCTCTCAAGAGGATAGGCATCCTGTTATTCTTTAGGATCTTGTGAATCCCACAAACACTGTCAAAGGTAGATAAGAATATCAAGCTGTCCAAAGTAACTCATGAGACTGTTGAGGAATAGGACACAAATCCCAAACTGTATGTTGAATAACTCAACTCCTTAACATGGAGTTACAGACAGTCTCCATGGTATGTCTTGCCACCCAAAGCCAAGCCTGCCTTTGGAATAGATGGTCCTATAGATCACAATATCTAGGTTACATCCAGTCCCAAATGATGTCACTTACTCTGAGTTAATTGTACCTCAGTCCAAAGATAGTGCTTATACCCAATTCTATAATGCTAACTAAATATGTATTAATTAAGAAAAAGACAGGAGTCATTGAGAAGGTTAAAGCAGGTAAACATAAAACATACAAATGAGGTATTGTCTTAGTTTGTAAAAGGTAATAGTAGCTGCTATAATATGCAAGTCCTATAGGTCCTTTAGGGCTAATCCAAGTCAAGCAACTTGAATATCCCTTGTTTATGCTTAGAAATATTGTCTTCTCTGAATTTCAAGCAGCACAGTGATAATAATTCCTGTAGGGATAAACTGAGGCAGTCCATGGTATCTTGCTGAGAACTGAGAACTCAAATCCTAAATCATTAGGCCAGGCCTGGGAAGCACACTTGACTCTGGTCGTCCTGGCAACCACATTTCAAAAGGGCCTCACTTTGATAAGGCTGGTACCAAACAACCGTGCGGGATTGTTTTTCACTGTCTGCTTCATTCCTAGAAAATAAGCTTAAATCCCAAAGACCGCGCCATCCCCACAGTAGACATATTATATTTCCATCCGACAAAATGACCATCAACATGCCTTTGTTTATGTTGGTTTATTTAGTTTGTTAGGAATAATTATTTGTATTAGTGATAACATGTTTAATTGGCGATGGGCGGGGATCCTGTGTAATCTTCATTGTTCATTGGCTTATGTGCTCATCTCATTTCCGCCGCTAGACCTATCAAATCACTTCCCCTCCACCCATTTGCTGCCTACATAATCTATTGTATGTTTTGATTTAATTAGTACTCACCAGTACCCCTGGTGGGTGGTACTCCAGCTGTGTGAACCAATAAATCCTCTGCTTGTTTTCACCTGCACCCAGTATGTCCAGAATTATTCCCTACAGTTCCACAGTGATGGATTTTTATGTCCTTCCCCGTGTGTTTAGAGGCAATGAGATGAGGGCCTCCACACATACCTTCTTCATGAAGATGGGAAAAGTGACCAACAAAGTCTTTTGCTCAGTGTTGTTCTACAGCAACTTGTCTGGTGTCTATAGGCCTTTTTGTTGTGGTAAACTTAGCATTTCACATGCTTCTTCTCATGCTGTGAGGTTTTACATGTTAGCAGATGCTTTTATAAATACAGAGCAAATACTAAGTGTAACCAGATAACATGGGATACAAATATTATCCAGGTGTAACACTGACAAGCGAAACTGAACCCAGGACCTCTGGAGCTTAGTGTATGAGCCTCTACCATTTGAACTAAAAAACAGCTGACTCTCAGCTAAAGATGTAGAACAAGCTCATTCTTTTTCTCTAAGGGTATGTCTACACTACCCCGCTAGTTCGAACTAGTGGGGTAATGTAGGCATACCGCACTTGCAAATGAAGCCTGGGATTTGAATTTCCTGGGCTTCATTTGCATAAGCGGGGAGC